ATGACATGTTTTTCGGCAAAAGTTGAATGGAGGATCAGACTTTGTTTAAGGAATTGGATTTTCACTTTTCTCTGCCAATTAGTTGCATCATCATGGATTTTACTTTAACCTTTATGCTTCATGGTGTGGTTCTTTTAGATTCTTTGTTTTTTTAGGCAAAGATTCAATTTCTCAATTATTAGGTTGCAGAACCGTTAAGAGCGATGGTAATGGGAGCTCCTTTGGAAGATGCTCGTCATCTTGCTCAACGATATGATAGAATGCGACAAGAGGCTGAAGCTCAGGTACTTACAAGTAATTATTTTATTGTCTTTGTGCACGTTTTTCCCTGAAAATTTATTGTGGTTATTTGCAAGTTTTATGTTTCCAATTTTCTCCAACTGTCGGTCTCTTTCACAAGGCGTCATGTGATGGGTCATGTTTACTCGGCTTGAAAAGGGGGCCCCATGTGTCAAGTAGCATCCTGTCCTCTCGATCTCACTATTGTGTCACTGTCTATTTCAGTTGCAATTAAAAACACATCATGGAAGCAAAAGAAAATTCATTTCTCCATGGTTTAAATATAATAAAGCTATACAATGGTAGAGCATGCAGTGGTGGAGGTTGATGTAGGCTTAAGGCTGATTGGTTTCAAGAGGCTATGCTGTGAAACGTTGTTTCTATAGTTGCTTAATGTATTTTTATCTTATACTGTATCACTTCTGCCCCTGTTTGACAACCATTAAAATGAGTTTTGAAATTGTTGTTTTTTTGAAGAATGTGTGATTAAAAAGTAGGAAAAAAAAATTGGGTTACGTGCAAAATATTTTATTACGAGAATGTATGTTTGAAAATGAGTTTGAGAAAAAAAGAGTTTATTGGTTGTCAAACAGGGGCTTAATCACCTCAAGATTGTCATAGGTAACTTATTGGAACATCTTAAAGTGCCCTCGCGAGTTATTAATGTTATATTTTTCACATTTGGATAGGCTGTTGAAGTTTCCAGGAGACAAGCAAAACTAAGAGAAGGAACTGGCACGCCTGAAATGGCTTTGAAACTAGAAGCATCTGAAGCTAAATTGCAAGATCTGAAGTCCAATGTTGCTACACTAGGGAAAGAAGCTGCAGCAGCTATGGCTGCTGTAGAAGCTCAACAACAAAGGTTGACACTGCAAAGATTAATAACCATGGTAGTGCAACTTTGCCTTTTAAAAATATCAGGAGTATCTGCTCCACTGACTAAACTATAGAATCAGTCTTAGAATTATCCTCTTTCTTTCTTCTTCACATTCCAGGTTGAAGCAGAACGTGCATATCATCAGCAAGTTCTTCAAATACTCGATCAGCTGGAAGGCGAGGTATGCATAATTTTTTTCTTCTTGTGAAGGAGAAAAAGCTATTCTATCTGCTCATCTGGAAGCTACAGAAGTCCTAAAAAAACCTATTTCTTTTTTCAAATTTAGATGATGTCAGAGCGCCAAAGAATTGAAGCAGCTCCTGCTCCAAGCATGGACAGTGTGCCTCAACCTCCATCCTATGAAGAAGTAACTGACATGTCTACTACACCAGTGCAAAATGGGTCAACTGTTGGCATGGGTTACTTTCTTGGCGAAGTAAGTAGATAATTGTGTGAGTCTTAATAAATAACGGTAGCACGCTTGGTGATAGCTATTTATTTCTTTTCAATTTTGTGGATTCAATAACAGGTCATGTACACATATCAAGCTGAATCGAACGTGGAGCTTAATTTGTCAGTTGGAGATTATGTCATTGTTCGGAAGGTTTGCTACCCTTGCTTGAATAATATATCTACCAATTAGCCTTCCGATAGTCCCATGCATTGTAGACACACTGAGTCATGGGCAGAGATAGGGGGGCTGGGGTGGGCACGGGTGGTAGGGGGGGCTGGGGTGGGTTGTAGCCCACCCAGCCCAAGCCAAATTTTGTTAAAAAAAAAATAAAATTGGTTATAATCCATTTTTTTCTACTGTTCAACCCAGTAGCTCCCTGTACCATTGAATCCTGGCTCCGCCCCTGCACTGAGTGATTATCTCCAGGCTGTATGTACAGTAACACATAAATAAGTTCTCGATATAGATTTGTGATGTTTCAATCTCCACTTGTTTGCATATGTTCTTATTTCTTCTCTTATCCATGCTAGTAATGTCACACATTTATCTAATTAAGCATTTTGTCAATTAACAACTCAATACCTAAGACCATAAAGCATAGCAGGTTTAAAGACCGTTTGCATAACTGATTTTTTAACTTGAGAGTAATATCCTTCTATTAAACAGAATAACTGTTTCACTTTTACTATCTATAGTTGATACATTATTACTGTTCTGCTCCCTTGAACAGGTCTCAAACAATGGCTGGGCTGAAGGTGAATGCAAAGGCAAGGCCGGCTGGTTTCCATTTGGATACATTGAAAGACGGGAGCGTGTTCTTGCTAGTAAGGTAGCCGAAGTTTTCTAAACTGATTTGCTAGTTTGAGTTTCAACAAGTTTTGTTTGCAGTTGTGTATCCAATGATATATACACACATACCCATTGTCGTCCAGCACATCCCACGATTCCCACTTGTCTGCACTTGTTGTGTTACATATGAATGGCATCTACCCTTGGTTCTTAACAATTGATGTATTGCCTGTTATTGTATTTTTGTTCAATTTTGGTTATGAAAGGTTTTATCTTATGCTGAGACACCGCGCTCTTTTTTTTTTTTAATTGAAGTTTTTTGTGTTGATTAATCAATTTTTCCCCAACTACTATAACATTGGTCAAGTACCTTTGAAATACGTAACCTTAAAATAGTGAAGTAGCAGCAGTTTTTGCACCCTCTTGCATGCTTCAAAAAATACCTTTAAGAAGCTTTTGTTGGCACCATGCAACGTAGAAATGATCTCCTGTCCACCGTAAACAGGAGTTACAATACCCCGTAGTTATATATGACATTTTTTCTTTTGAAAAGTAAAAAAATATGGTTGACCGTTGTCATGTAATGGTGGACAATTGTTATCTTGCTCATTGTAGGCGAGGGATCAGCTCCTACCATGTGCTGTTTAAAAAAAATACCTTATACAAATGGCCAAAATCCACAAAAATTTACCATATGTTCTCAAACACACTTGAAGCCTCTCAGTCCGTTTTCTTTATGCTATCGTCATCTACTCTTCAATCAATATCAACACTGTATTTCGTTTAGATTATATAAGAATTATAAAACTTAAATATAAATAATCAATGTTAGTTTTGAAAAGTATTATTCTTAAAGAGACAGTTTAGATATAGGGCAACATCAATCCTGACCTTGAACTTTAATATGTTTCACAGTGAAATTCCAAACTCTATTTGCAATTTTAGCATAAAATGAAGTCTGATATTAATTAATTATAGCATCTTAAAATCAAAAAAGATATGATTATATTTTAGAAAAACTAAGTACAAGCAAACAGAGATGAAAAGGCACCAGTTACGCTTCATCAACTTGGCTTTTCTCCTACATTGTGTTTGCTTCAACACTAATGATCCAAATATGCTCATTTACTCAGTACGTATATGTATATAGGGAGGGGTGATTTTTTAGAACAATTCTTGTGGTACATTATGGGATCCATAAGGGTCTACATAATGGACACTTTGCGGCATACAATTGGTTGGAGTGCCGGTCCACAAGAATTGTCCTAAAAAATCACCCCTCCCTATATACATATACGTACTGAGTAAATGAGCATATTTGGATCATTAGTGTTGAAGCAAACACAATGTAGGAGAAAAGCCAAGTTGACGAAGCGTAACTGGTGCCTTTTCATCTCTGTTTGCTTGTACTTAGTTTTTCTAAAATATAATCATATCTTTTTTATTTTAAGATGCTATAATTAATTAATATCAGACTTCATTTTATGCTAAAATTGCAAATAGAGTTTGGAATTTCACTGTGAAACATATTAAAGTTCAAGGTCAGGATTG